ATGATCTAGAGAGTGATGAAGCATCAGGGCTTTTTTTTTTAGCGGGGGAACACTGAATGGGGTGCTGGAGAGTCTATGGATGCTGGCTACTGAGGAATCTTTTGTCACTGGGGGGATCTGTTGTTGCTACTGGTAGGGATCTACCATTGAGGGATCTACCCTGGTGGGGGTCTATTGTTGTTGGGGGATCTGTTGTTGGGGGGGTATTTTGTTGCAGGGGTCTATTGTTGCTGGGAGGGTATTGTTTTTAGATAATCTAATGTTGCTGGGGGATCTACTGTTACTGTAGGACCTTTTTTTTAACAGCTGAGTTTATAGAGTTTACCATGAAAGGAAATTACAGTAATAATCACAATAACATTGAAAGAAACAACAGAACACAACATGATGGCAGAAGAAGGGAGACGGGTGGAAAGACACATCATAAGGAATATCTCTAGGATATATACACAACTTTTTATCACCTACAAGGTCGGTACTAATGGCGGCAAACAGCGACTTTTAGTGGGACTGCAGCGGACATTCTGACACTGAGGGGGAACTCACTTGGTTTCACTGACATCCCCAGTGACTCCAATACAGTGATCAGTACTAAAAAAAAGCACTGACACTGTACTAATGGCACTGGGCAGCAAGGGCTTAATATGAAGGGCGATCAAAGGGTTAACTATGTGTAGGGAGTGTTTTACTAGGGGGCAGGGGTGAGCTTCACTGTAAGCACACTGCTCTGGATGGCTGTGCTGAGCAGTGTGCCCGAGCTGATAGGGAGGAAGACTGTAAGTAAACAAAACATGCGCCCCCTACCCGGAACTGCAAAATCATGTATATATACATGATTTTGCGCACATCTGGTGCGCTGTAGCAGTATTTCTGCTATAGGGTGGTCGGGAAGAAATTAAACATGTTATGTCTGAATCTGAGAGCTTGGTAATTTATTTTGCCCTTTGAGTCCGGATATTTATTTATTTTGGTTGAAGGGTTGATCCTAAAATTAGATATTGCTAGGCTGTTTTTAGCTTGTGTAAAGCCTTTCAGGTTAGCTAGATAGGTTGTTTTTCTTTTTTAGACAGAGTAGCAGCCTGGGATGAGTCAGCCTGGGAGTGAGGCAGGAGTTCACCTCAGGACAGGCTGGGAGGTTATACAGGTCAGAGCTTCTAGAGCACTCAAACCTTTCTGGAAACTAGAGAGCTTTCTGGAACAGGGGAGGAAGAGGGGAGGAAGCCCAGATCTGCATGTATGAGGGACCTAGGCCAATCCCCTGGCAGGAGACTGGGCATGGTGACCAGGGGAACCCTCAAATATGACACAGCCTGGGGAGAGAGGGGAGTCAGGTGAAAGATAGACTGAGAGAAGACTGGAGTGTGAAGCCTGGGAGGGGGGGGGGGGACTATGTACAAGCCGGTTGCTAGATGGGAGGATCTCCACTGCCTAAAGTCTCCTGGGGGGGGACATCCTGAATAGCAGGGAAGGAGCCAGCCCAGCGAAAGGCCTGAAAGCAGCTACCAACGCACCACGCACACAGGACAGGACATTGATAGAACTTCTACACCCCCTGGGCCAGATAAGAGGAGAGGTGGCCAGGTGCAAGACTCACCTAGTTCTCATCCAAGACTACTTAATTGTGAGCTCTTGGGACCCCTTGCCCAGGGATACCCTCAGTGCAGCTGAGTGAAGAGGAATCATCATTCAGGGTCTGAGGAGGTACACCAAAGGGGCGTTAGTGCTCCTTAATAGAGTCTGTTGCTAATCCATATTTTTCTACATAGTTGCTAAGAAGTTGTTCTTGAGTTCTACAGTTCCTTGGGTATCCCATACAGTATATCCCTAGACCCCATCCAAGTTCTTAACCCCTAATAAAAAACATAAAACCAAGTTCAAGGACTGTTTTTTCTGACTCTGAAAGTACAAGTGTGAAAAATATGTGTTGCCTTGCCATGCAATTTGTTACCCTCCTATAGTGTAGCGCTGGAGATTTCCAGAGTTCTAAATAATATTTATCAGTACGTCCAGGTGTAGGCAGGTGCCGTCTGTTTTCTGCACTGTAGGTGGTGCTCAGTCCCAGTGGTACCATATCTTGGAGTAGAAGTCAGGGAAATCATGGTTTCTGTATGGTTTCCTGGGTCACGAAAGCAGCATTCTGATTGGTTACACTGTATCCAGGTGACCCCTGGTGGCCACTTTGGCCCTTTAGAGGTGTCCCTGCCTCCAGGTTTTTGCACGCATTTGTGAAGTGGGTAGTGTAGGGAGAAAGACAGGGAAAGATTCTAGCTGAGTAGGGATAGGCTAGGGATTCACTATCCTGCAAAGATGTCTCCCTTATGGGTTCGGACTGGCCAGGCTGCATTCCACCTCCTGAGACAGATGCTGTCGGTGCATCTCTCCCTGCTGCATATCTGCATTTGAACCGAACTGTGAGTGTTTCTCTAAGCATTTCTCTCCCGCTGGGGTGTTTGTAGTTCGGCAGTCTCTTCAATACAAGTTCCAAGTTTTATTGCAATTGCCGCCACACCACGCTGTACCCACCTACACAGAGATCTAAATAATATTTAGCAGTAAGTCCAGAGATCAAAGTAGTATTTAGCAAGTATCATATTTATTTTTTGCGTAAGCTGCATACTATACCAGGATGTTATGATTCTTACTTTGTGAATATCAACCAGCTCAATATATTTTGTATTATGACATTTTGCACTGGGAAGTTTTTACATTTTGCATAAGGGAATTAGAGTACTTTTGCAGGTTAAATTTAGCAGTTATATGGCTTGAGGCCAGAGCCTCTCTTGAAGCAATGCATCCACTAGTATTTTAGGTGACCTAATAGAGAGTGGGTATGTTTTGATTTAAGTAAAAATTCCTGTTCTGCACAATCTTTGCATTTGTCAGCATATGTTCAGTAATTAGTTGTTAGAGTATGTAAGGTATTGGAAGGAATGGTGAGATTCCAGACCAACTTTTTGACATTCTATGAGAAAGCAAGCAGTAATTTGGATAGAGGAAGGCTCATGGACATAGTGTATCTCTATTTTTCTAAAACATTTAATGGAGTACCCCAAAAACGCTTAATCTATAGTTTAAGGAAGTGTTTCTCAATCTCTTTTCAGTCAAGGCACCCTTTAAAATTATGGATATTCCTGAGGCACCCTTTTAAAATTATGGATATTCCCGAGGCACCCTTTAAAATTATGGACAGTCTTGAGGCACCCCATTCTAAAATAGAAAAATGCCCCAAGAACAAGCAGGAACTGAAGACAGTTGCAGTAGAGGCCTGGCAGAGCATCACCAGGGATGAAACCCAGCGTCTGGTGATGTCTATGCGTTCCACACTTCAGGCTGTAATTGACTGCAAAGGATTTGCAACCAAGTATTAAAAAGTGAAAGTTTGATTTGTGATTATTATTCTGTCCCATTACTTTTGGTCCCTTAACAAGTGGGAGGCACATATGCAAACTGTTGTAATTCCTACACCGTTCACCTGATTTGGATGTAAATACCCTCAAATTAAAGCTGAAAGTCTGCAGTTAAAGCACATCTTGTTTGTTTTATTTCAAATCCATTGTGGTGGTGTATAGAGCCAAAAATGTTAGAATTGTGTCGATGTCCCAATATTTATGGACCTGACTGTATTTGGGAAGAATATTTTTAAAATACATTTCAAATATATTTTTCTTCCATGTGGGTTGTTTCATCTAGTGCCAGAGGAGCACAAGATATTGTGCATTTAATTCTGTTTTTTATGAGTCTATTTTAATAAAAGGACTATGAGATGATGACATTTCTGGTCTGTGTTTCCTACATTTCTTGAGCGCATTAAGGTGTACTGCAGGGCTTGTTTGGGTTCATTCTACCATTATTCCTGTGGCTGGTGGATGAAGAGGTTAGCGGAGTCCATTCTGCTTTTCAGCACACTTTGAATGGACACGGAGGACATGTTTATGACTTTTCAAGAACTGGCATGTTGTTTACAATCATGAGAAGTGACATACCGTGTGGCACATTTGTTCTGATATTCTATCACTTCGAGCATTAGATGATATTGCAATTTGTATTTTGCACATTTAGAATTTGGAATTCTCACATTAATATTGACATGAGCACATTATCTTTTAATAATTTTTGTATTTATTGATTTATTCATATATGGAGTAATTACACTATAGTTTTGGAGCGCTGTTCACATGATAGTTATTATTAATTCAAAGAAAACAGAAATGTCTCCACTTGAAGACCAAGCATTTTCTGGGACATTTTGTTTACAAGTTTAAATCTGTATTTTTTGCTAGAAAATTACGTATAACCTCCAAACATTATGTATATTTGTTCAGTAAGAATGATAATGAAATGACGATCGTTGCAATTTTTATGTCACATGGTTTTGCGCATCGGTTTTTCAAATGCAATTTTTTTGGAAAATATGAAAGAGGATGTTACGGCAAGTAAATAGACACCTAACATGTCATGTTTTAAAATTGCGCACGCTTGTGGAATGGCGACAAGCTACGGTACTTAACAATCTCCATAGGTGACGCTTTAAACATTTTTTACAGGTTACCAGTTTAGAGTTACAGAGGAGGTCTAGCACTAAAATTATTGCTCTCGCTCTAATGTTTTCAGCGACACCTCACATGTGTGCTGCAAACACGGTTTACATATGTGTGCTTGATTTACGTATGCGTTCGCTTCTGTGTAAGAGCACAGAGAGATGGAGGCGCTTTAAAACATTTTTTTTCCTTTTTTATTTATTTTGACACCATCCCTTTATTATTTTTTTTTTATCCCTTTTATTATATTACAAGGAATGTAAACCCCTCAGGGTTCATGTACACTGCAGCTGATAAACTGACGTTCCGGAGCTTTTCTGCGTTTTTTTAGCAGCCCCTTAACTCTCACTAATGTTTTCTATGTGTCCATGTACACTCTGTCATTTACAGTCGTTTACAGGCAGTTGAGTTTACAGCAGGGGCAGACTGACAACTCATGGGGCCCCCAGGCAATAGGGGATCATGGGGCCCCTGTGTCCTTGCCCAAACTCAAAAAAGTGCCTGAGTTTCCAAATGGTCAGTCCACCCCTGGTTTACAGTTGTTTTTTTTTAATGTACCAAACTTGTGTTCAGGAGTAGATTTTATCAGCGTTTCAAATGCCAAATGCTTGTAAACGTGGCTAACCACATTTATAAGCGTTTGCGTTTAGAAGCGTTTTTTAACTGTTTCATATCCAAATGCTGTCCAGAGCCTTTTTTCATCAGCAGAAATGCATGCAAAGCATTTTCCATTGAAATGGACCCAGTACACCAGTGCAGTCAGTTCCAGGCTTTGCGTGAAGGAAAAAATGGTAGAACGTGCTGCATTATGCTCATGATGGGATCCATAGTGAATACAACCAGAAAAGACAGGTCATCTCAACACATACTACTCTCTCTGATTGTGCTCTCTCTATTCCTCTCATAATTTCTGAAATAGCTAATTTTTTACTATTTTCAGTGCATTATGGGTATTGGAAGGTCTCCTGAGGTTATCTTTAAAAAACGCTTCTAAACTCAAACGCTCATAAATTTGCATAAACGTGGTATGCAAACGCGGCTAAACAGACATTTTTTAACCTACCTTTTCCAGCAGTCAGTTTCCATCATTCAAAAGTGTTTTGCAAACATCCTGTGTACATGGAGCCTTATAGAAATAAGCATGACAGGTCCTCCGTAAAGAGAAATCTGGGGAAAAAAGACCCCAAACCTCTTCTTTACCTTTAAAAGATGAAGATCAAAAGAAATGTTTTTTGAACTTTTGCTTTAACCTCCTTAGTGGTAATCCCGAGTGTAGCTTGGGGTAAAATTTCTATACCAAGAGCGGTAACCCCGCTACACTTGGGCTTACCATGCGGCTATGCTCTGGGGGTCCCTGCAACACTTACCTTGTCCTTCGCTACCGCGATGTGTCCCCTGCAGCGTCCCCGGCCATCTCCTCCGGCCGATGCCGGCATCCGACTTCTGTGTTCCGGTCCCTGTGACGTCGGGACGTACGGGCGCCGGAACCGGTAGGGAAACGGGGACGTACTGGCGCCGGAACCGGCGGGAAATTTGAAATTTTTAAAAAATGTCATTTTTGCTGTCATTGCTATTTCAATGCATTTCACATATATTTTGTCCTACTGCTTTGTCCTGTGCCCTGCCTGCATTTTGAATGTTCTTTCTGCCTGGAAACTGAGAAAAGTCCATGGCGTCCAAAAAGCGTCCCTTTAGGTCAAAAGCGGTTTTAGAGCAGCGATAGTAAATCAGAACCACTTGCAGAATTGAGTGATAATGATTCGTGGGGAAATTCGTCATCAGACACTGAAAACGATTTTGCGACTTTGCTCAGTGATGTGCGAATTTGCCTCTGTATTTCAAATCTCAGTGTTTTTGGTTTGATTATATTATTGAATTAAATGTATTATTATATTCTTATTTTTTATGATTATTTATTAAATTATAATTTATTATTTCGTGTTTCAAATTTTATCCTACCCAGGATTTTTAATAGACTCTTGTTCGTACAGATTTCAGTGAGTTATTCCTAAAAATTACAGCCTACAATAAAAAACTACATATTTCCATGCAAAAAATGGTACCGCTTTCAGCACAAAAAATCGGAAAGAATCATACCGCCAAGGAGGTTAAAAAAGAAAAAAATATTGTTTACATCTACCGCCGACTGGATGTAACGTCATGGCGTCGCTCCGGTCCTCCATCCTCCATCATGATAGAGATGATTAGAGACCATAGAGTCTCTAATTGCCTCCATCTTCAGATCATTTCTTGGGTGTGCCAGTTTTAACGGTAATCTCAAGAAACACCGGCGACTGGCAGGAGGGGGGACGTCTCCTCCTGCCGCTACAGAAAGCGATCTAGTGGCTGAAGGGCCAGTAGGATCTCTTTCAATAGAAAGCCAGCCGTCGACTTATTTCTTCAGCCATAACCCTGGTAAACCACATGAAAACTGCAACGTTTATATACTTATTACGGTCTTCAAGTGGATAACAGCGAAATTCCAATGGATATAGGAAAGAAAGGGATGCTCTGTATTTTTTTAACAGTGCCCTCAATACCAACAAGGAAACAAGAATTTAAATATTGTAAATATATATTACCGCACACCTGTGCACACCCCAAAAAAAAAAAAAATTTAAAGCAGCAAACTGTTTGCTGCTTTAATTTTTTTCTTGGGGTGTGCACAGGTGCGCGGTAATATATATTTACAAAATTTTAAATTCTTCTTTTCTTGTTGGTATTGAGGGCACTGTTAAAAAAAAAAAAACACAGAGCATATCCCTTCCACTAAGTACACTCAAAAGTGCGACACATTTTATTTGAGTATTTAAATATGCAATCACAATAAACAGAAATTATCACAGATATTTTTTATCAGTTAAAAAGTAAAGATATTTTATCACACATCTTATCAGTGAATTAAAAAATATCAGAATGTTGCCATTGACAATAGGTGGCGCTTTAAGCACAAACTAAGCACATCGCCTTGAAGCTTTTCAGCAGAAGTTTAGCATGCTGATGGGATCACCATGCGGTCTCTTTTATAGAAATAAATGTAAACTCATTCGTTTGCAGGAGTTACTTTACTAGCATTTAAGATTTTATCTTGCTATAATTTTCAGTTTTTTCCTCAATCCACAAACATAAATATTGCATAGGTGTGAAATCCGGTTTTCCACCAGGAATTAATATGTAAAGTGACACTATGGCCAAAATAAAAAATTACATATGACAAGTGACAGACTATTAATATAAATTTTTGTTTTAACATCAACATAACTGTCACCCTTGCACCATACATTTTATTACTTGTGATCTGGCCACTAAATCTGTTATTTTTCAACTTCAATACCGGGCACTTATACCCCCTTTCCTGCCCAGGCCAATGTTCAGATTCCAGCGCTGTTGCACTTTGAATGACAATTGCGCGGTCATGCAACACTGTACCCCTATGACATTTTTATCATTTTTTTCACACAAATAGAGCTTTCTTTTGGTGGTATTTATTCACCTCTGAGTTTTTTTTATTTTTTTTGCTAAATAAAACAAAATCACCTAAAAATTTTGAAAGAAAAATGCACTTTTCTTTGTTTGTTATAAAATTTTGCAAATAAATAACATTTCTTCATAAATTTAGGTCAAATGTATTCTGCTACATTTCTTTGGTGAAAATAATAATAACTGAATTTGTATTTTTTTGTGTTTCTATTATTTTGTTTTTTTTTATAAAATTTTTTCTTTTATTTACTATTTTATTTTTCAGCACACTGTGATCAAAGCAATACAATGCCAGAGTAACATTGAACTACTCTGGGCAAGTGATCAGAATTTATTATTTTTAACACATTATGATTGCTAATACCAATGTATTTCATTGATATTTGCAATCATTGTTACTGAATGAAACTGATTCATTCAGTCTTTTGTTTTAATCAGCTGTGATTGGAAGCTGATCACATGATACAGATGGGCTGTGATTGGCCCTGTCTGTATCATGTGACTGCCTTGACCAGTCACAGCTAACAACATAATTGTATACAATAGATGGCATGACAGGAAGCCATCCATAGTATACAATTGACATGTGATCTGCTGTGATTGGTCACAGCGGTCACATGACACTGGCAACGGACCGGTGTAGTGATATGTCATCAGCTGTGTCCTGTTGACACAGCCAGTGATAGATCGCGCCGCTGCTCGACCCCACGGCCGTGTGAGTGGCTCATTTTGACAGGACGTCATATGATGCCCAGTCACAACAGTGAGTAGCAGATTGACGGCCAGGCATCAATCAGACCATTTCGCATTTTGCATTTGACCCATTTCTGTAGTGCGTATTACGTTTTTGCACGTGTTTTTGCCGTTTTTTTTTTGCTTTTTTTTTAATCTATTTTTTTTTCTTGTTGCTAGGCAGATTTAAAATGCAAAACGCATAAAAAAACCACAGAAAGAAATGCATAAAAAACGCAGCACAAATGCACTACATGCTGTTCTGCAGCGTTTCCATTGAAGTCTATAGAACCAATAACGGGTCCCTGACTCTTTCCAAAAAACACACCGGGTGAGAGATGTGAACGTGTCCCATAGGAAATCATGTAAAATGGACTATAGTGCGTTTCTTGAAAACTCTTAGGTGTGAACCTACAGTAAGACAGGAGGTATGTTACTGGCCAATCACCATGTGAAAATGAAGCAGTGATAGCTTGAAAAAAAAGAGAGAAAACTAATGCAGCCACTACATCCAATGATTAGTAAGCTACAATTTGTTTTTGGGTTTGATTACACTTTAAAATGATTGTGAATGCTTGATTTTTTTGTCCTAAAATAAAAAAGAAGTTTATAATTAACTATTCTCTGTAGTGGTATTGGACAGGGTAGCCCCCTACCTCCTCTTCTGGGCTCTCCCTTCCGTCTCTTTTGTGTGTGCCACCATAGCAAACTGCGTGCTATGGTGACACACATAAGGGCACGCTAATGAGTATAGCTTGGCCCCGCCCCTGTTTCATCCTAACAGGATTTGATTGACAGCAGCAATGGCTCCCACTGCTCTGAATCTGTCCTGTGAGAAGAGGACCCGAGACACCAGCGCTGCTGCAGATAGAGGGCTCAGGTACGTATTTAGGGAGCGGCATTAAGGAACAGGTAGTGGGAATTTTTTTACCTAAATGCAGAGAATGCATTAAGGAAAAAAAATGATTTGTCGTTATAACCACTTTAACTACTGACTGGATATCTTAACCAATTAAAAAAAGGAATTAAATTGCAGCTTACAGTCCTTAAATGTGGTGGCTGATTTAGTTTTCTTTTTTTCCAGGTTTTTTTTTTGCTTTATTTTCACCTTTCACCAGCAACACCATTTCAGTCCTAGGGTGACAACACTCACTGTAACTATCAGGGGCGGACTGACAACTCATGGGGCCCCCGGGAAATAGGGGATCATGGGGTCCCTGTGTCTTTGCCCAAACTCAAAAAAGCCTATGAAAAAGGGTACCAGGGGCATCTCATGGGGCCCCCTACTGACCCCGGGCCCTCGGGCAGTGCCCGAGTTTCCAAATGGTCAGTCCGCCCCTGGTAACTATTGTACCTAGCAGCATTTACATAGAGGGTAGCTAAACTGTAGTCCCCAGAGAATAGCTGGGATGGCTGGTAACAATGTTTGAAATTTCTGTTCAGCTCATAGGAAGTGATAAAGACACTTGATTTCTGGCAGCATCGACTGGTGTTTCTGTGCATGGTAAAAATGTTCTTGGCGGAAAAAAAGAAAACGAATGCAGTAACCATATCTAAGGACTGATAATCTGCAATGTGTTACATTTTTGTTCTGCTTCTCATAGACCAGTATTTTATCTCATGAGTCATTTTGTTATCTCCACCTAGAATTGAATATTATTTTGATAGCCTATTTGGAACACAGAAGTTATGTACACACACAACTTCGTAATACTATTGTAGCACTACCCCCATAGGAGTCGCTAGAGTTTTGGGTCCCCCTACAGTCCTGGACTGTCAGGCAACACACATTTACTTCCAGCTATGCACTCCAGAGACAGTAAACAGTCCTTGAACTTGACTTTTTTTTTTGGATTTTATTAGGGGATGATAAATTGGATGGGGATGAGGGATACATCATACTGTAAAACTGAGAGGATAACCTCCTGGAACTATGTACAAACACTCAGAGGGTTTTCTCTTCTTTGGAGAGCTATCCAGTCTTTCCTGACATACCACCTCAGACCCCATATGAAATCTTCTCTTCATTCAGCTACCTGAGGGAATCCCTGAGCAAGGAGACCCAGAAGCTGCCACTTTAAGGTCAGCAGTCCAAGATGGGGGCTATTCAGGTTTCCCACCAGAATTTCCTCTCCCCTTATCTGGTCCAGGGGGTATGAGATTACTCTGTCCTCTCCTGCAAGCTTGTGAGTTGGTGGCTTCCTTCAGGCCTTACTTTGGGCTGGCTCCTTCCCAGGCTGTCCTCTCTCAGGGACGGTAAGGCTGAGAGATTCTCCCTTTAAGCTCTTCTGCCTGTAGATAGGCCCCTCTCCTGGACCCCTTCTCAGGCTGCACACTCCATTCTGCTCACTCCATCCTCCACCTGTACTCTCCCTGCTACGGAGCAGGCTCAGTCACTCTTAAGGGCTGTCCTGACCCCATGCCAAGCTTCCTGCTTGGGAATTGATCAGAATCCCTTAAGAGTGCAGACCAGCTCCTCCTTACCCCCGCCCACTGAATTCTAGAGACTTCTCCTAGTCTCTAGATCAGGGGGAGGTATCAGGGAACTGATCTGCAGAGCCTTTCAGCCCTGACCCAAATCTGACCCATCTGGTAATCTTTCCAGGCTGCTAAACAGTCTCATAACTAAAAAAAAAATAGCTAGCTCCCCCTGGGTAACTAGGAGGGCGCTACATTCACCCCCACTGAAAACAGCCATGTCCTCACTGGCTAACTAGGAGGACGCTACACTATTTTGTATAAAATTTCCAAAAGCAAAAAATGTTATAACATAGATGGACCCTTAAAATAACTTTCTATTCTTAGGAAACCCTTGCTAATACTTACTCTATATACAGCTCATGGTACTGGTACATTCGTTTGATGGTCAGTGGAAAGAATGCTTCTTACATTTGTGGCCAATGGGAAGAATTCCCCATTACAAATAGATAGCAATTTCTACCTCTCAGATAAGTACCTACTGAACCAATGATCTTTTTGTTTTTTCCAGGACAGCACAGCTGCTAAGTAGTTAGCATACATGCCTACCAATACTAGGGTCATCATTTTGAATCCCAACAACAGCACTACCTAACTGCAGTTTGCATGTTCTCCCTGTGCCTGCGTGGGTTTCCTCTGACACTCCAAAGACATGCTTGTAGGTGAATTGGCTTCTGTCTAAATTGGCCCTAGTATGTGTATGTATGAATGTGAGTTAGGGACCTTAGATTGAGAGTATTCTCCACTTCCATACTGTGAGGCAGAAGGTTTTTCCTGGTGCATACACTTTCCAGCTCTATGGAGTCAAAGATCAGTCTAGGGTGTTGCTTTGTAGTTTAATTAAAGGGAACTTGGATGGGGTTAGGCAGTGCCAGGACAAGGTCAACCCCAGGGTGAACATGACAAATTTCCCCCCAGACATATATGATTTATGTGCCAGGAAAAATCCCCTCTCCCCCCCAAAAAAATTGACCACTAATATGCATGCTTACCCTCCTCCCAGTACAAATGCGTACCCCCTTCTTGAAACCCTCCCATCCCTACCCCCAGCTCAAATCCTCTCTCTCCCCAAATTCCCCCAAGCACAAATCCCCCCCCCAAAAAAATTACCCCCTCCTAGCACAAATCCTCTACCCCTCCTTTCCACTCCAAGCACAAATTCCTCATCCCCCCTCGCAACACAATTTCCCCCTCTCCAATTCCCCCTCCTAGCACAAATCCCCCCAATTTCAGCTTCTAGCACTATTACCCCCCAATCACCCTACTAGCACAGCGCCCCCCCCCCCCAAAAAAAAATCCCCTCCTAGGACAAATCTCCTCCCCATCTACCAAATCCCCAATTCTAGCACAAATTGTCTTTCTCCATCCCCCTCCCAACACAAATTCCGCCATATCACCATTCCTAGCACCCACCAAATTCCCCCTCCTAGAACAGTTCTTACCCCCTGCTGCCCCCCTCGACTGTCAGAAGCAAAGTGGGGCAGCGGGGCTAGAAATAACATGCAGTTCTCCCAAGAACCCAACTATTGTGGTGAGTAATCTTGTTCCTGTGGGGTGGTCCTTTTGTTCTTGGATCCCTCCAGCTGTTCACCTGTGTGATCAGAGCTATTCTGATATATATTTTAGGGAGAAAGCCTGTTCATTAAACTGCAAGTTACAGTTACTCCGTCTCATCATTTGAATTTACCCATCCTGTTACACTAGCAGCTGCAAAATTGAATGGTGTTAGAGGTTTTCCTATTGGACTGCTGCTTCTGTTTAACCATGGGATGGCTGAAATTATGGAATGCCCATTGTGTTAAAACTAGTCAAAGCGAGTTTTAATGCCTGTGTGCAATATTTTTGCATGATACCTTTTGGACTCATGTTATGAATTATTGTGTATATTTGAATTGGAGAGTTTGAGGAGCAGCATTGATTATTGTGTACATGTAAAGTAGGGTGTGGGAGAATCAGTGTTCATTTTTGTGTACACGTAGCACCCTCTTAGTCAGCTAGGGGGAGCTATATCCTAGTGGTCAGACAGGGGCTGAATAGCAGCCCAGGTGTAATAGTCAGAGTGGTCAAATTTCGGTCAGGTGCTGGAAGGTTCGGCAGGCTCAGCCCTCTGAGACTTCCCCCTGCCTAGAACTTTGGAGAAAGTTCTAGAAGCAGTGGGAGGATGTACAGAGTGGCTGATCTGCATATTGAAAGGAATCTCTCTAATCCGCAACAGGAGGCTTGGCAAGGGGTCAGAATAGCCCTTAAATATGAGTGAGCCTGGCTAGTGTGAGGAGAGAGTTCAGGTGGAAGCTAGAGAGGAAGATGGGATGCTGAAGGAAGGAGGTCTGCGAGGAGGCCCAGTGGAATGGGACCTATCTGCAGGCCTGGAGCTGCACAGAGCTTACTGGTACCCTGAGAGAGGACCACCTATATGGCAGGGAAGGAGTAGCCCAATTGAAGGCCTGGTAGCAGCAACCAACCCACAAGTGGTACAGGAGAGGATCTGAGCGAGTACACCTACACCCCCTAGGCGGATAGGAGAAGGAGCACTCTGGTGGGAAACCAAATTAGCCATCTGCCAGTGACTGTTCAACTCTTAAACTGACAAGAACTGAATCCCCTGTTCAGGGACATCTCCAGATTGCTGGGTGAAAAGGAGAAGTTCCTCTAGGGTCTGGGGTGGTACATTAAGGAGACACTCGCTAGCTCTCCAACAGAGATTGTGCTGCAGAGAAGGTTAGTAAATAGTTCCAGGAAGTTGTCCTCAGTTCATCAGTACACTTGGGCATCCTGTACACCTAGCCCTATCCCAGTTCAAAATCCCCTTCAATAAAACATCAAAACCAAAGCTCAAGGACTGATTTCTGACTCTGCATGCAAGCTTTTGTGGAAATACGTGATGCCTGGCTGTGCAGGACTATAGGGGGATCCAAAACTTCTAGCGACTCCTAAGAGGGTAGTGCTACATACATGTACGCAAAGCTTTCAAAACATATCCAGTTGTCAGGCCAGAATTTTTTTTACAGTGTTATCCCCCTTTCATGCAAGCATTTCTGATCATGTCCACTTTCCACTTTTTCAGGCACACCTGTTCTAAAGGTTCATGAAGCACTATGGACAGGTAGATGTAAATGGATTGTGCCTGTTTACACCCCACCTATCTCTAATCTGTCCAGGTCCAGAAAAAAAAAAAAAACTGGATCGGAGGTAGCTAGCCACCCATAGAGCTTACAGGGGTCTGCCCGTATCTGCTTGGCATAAACTCATGGATGTGACAGCCGTCTTGTTTGGCTTCAATCAACAGGTTAACTGTGAACAGATCTGATTGGAGCTGACTCCGATCTGTGTGACTGCTGATTGGAGTGGACTCTGCTCTATTCTGTAGTTCTGAAAAGATGGAATACAAACTCCACATTTTTTTAACCATTTCTGCCAAAAAAAAATTCTTATTCTTTCCCGTAGCATTTTTTTTTCTGTGCACGTATGATTCCTGGCATCTGTAAGAACCCGAGAATGAAGGCGGGTGCCAGGTAAGATTATAACTCTTGTATGCAGGCATCATCAGTGGCTGCCCAATGGCCAAGAGGAAAATAGGGAACATGGAAGAAGGGACAGAGGAGATGGTTAAGCACCACTGTCCCAAGACTCAACTAGAGGAAGCAAGTGTTCCTGTGCCTATGAGGTGTATAGGACAATGATAGTACCTTCTACTGTTTATCTAGCATCTTTGCACTTAAATAACATCCTGAACAGCCCTTTTCAACCTTTTTAACATGGAGGAACCCTTGAAATAACTATGGCTTCAGGGAAGCCCTACTAATAATGAGTATATTAACAGGTTTGTGTCAGTGGTTACTCATCTGAGAGGTAGAAATTGCTTATTGCTCGAGGAACCCCTAGCAACCTTTGAAGGAACCTTAGTTCCATGGAACCCTGGTT